AAAAGTCAATGTTACAATTGCAATAATAGACTATATTTTAAATGGGAAGCAATAACCTGCTATAGACAAACTCATACCTTCAAATAAGAAACAAAATTAACCTTGGAAGTTAAGCACAAGGCAGTACACTAACTAAAGATTTTTTCCTGCGTAGAGAGAAGATTTATTAAAATGAGTCCAATTACTAAAGTAGCATTTTGTCTGTGGCGAATATAAATTCTGAGAGCCATTAACTTTTTAGATACACAAAGGGAATCATATTCTTTTACTTTGTTTATAACAAAATGCGTTCTTTAGAATTGTGATTAAAACGTATTGAGGCATTTTCTTAACTCTGCTACAAGCTAAACAATAACAAATGTTATTCTTAGAAATTACATATATATGTTCATATGCTTCCATCTCTAAAACAAGACTGTGGTTCTGAAAACACATTACTTCCAAAATTAGTGAATTATTTATAGTCAAGAAAATGAAATTGTCGTTTCTCTCATGTGAATAGTGGTTTAGGGGTAAGAACTGTGCTGATGCAAGTGTGGTTTAGCTATAGAATCAGATATGGTATAGTCCAGTAGAAAATAGTGAAGTGATCTTTACATAATGCATTTAATGTTTTTGTACCACCTATATTTCCATACTTTAGAATTTGCCTCTTTTTTGTTATAAGGTCATTTTAGTTTCTAACTTGGAAAAAATCTTAAATAGAATTTTATCACAGTAGAAAAATATGTTTCTTTTTTCGTCTGGCTTTCTAATTAATATCTCTGAATGATTGAATAAATCAGTGCAAACAACCATAAAACAGAAAATGATGATGATGATATTTAATAATATTATCAATAATACAATATTGTCTTTCAAAAATTCGTGTCAACACATACCTCACTGCAGTGATATGCAAATTGATTTTTAGTACTTGAAACACAATTTCTGAAAACCTGTGGGTACATCTAGTATCTTCTAGCAGTTAACACATTCACCATATAGTTCCATTATAATTACAAAATACAATAGAGATGAACTTCTTTAACTCTTTTTTGATCTCCACAATCTAATTTTGGTGCCTTTAGCAAGTAAAAAGGATATGGGAGCAAGGTCGACAGATGGTTTCTTCTATGCAGTTATGTGACCGTTCCGTGTGTGTGTGTGTGTGTGTGTGCATTCACGTGGGTATATATGTGTTTAATGACCAATTTTAAATAGTGAAAGATGACTGGTAAGGGGGAGAACCAGACTGAAATTCTCGCGTTCTTTGTCTCTGACTCTGTCTCTCTCCCTTCCCAGAAACAGTGTGACAGCAGGGGCAGAGGTATTACAATGAGCAAACGGGTCTGAAAACTTCAGTGGTGTCTCTATTCTTCCTCTTCTTTGCTCCATGATACCAGGTAAGTCCCTTTACCTTTCTAAGACTCAGTATCCTTTTATATAAATCAGCTTTAACAGTGCTTTACCTGGATCACAGAGGCAGATAGAAGGCTGGATGAAATGCTATGAAAATAGTTTACAGATCTCTAATACTCCCCATGAAGGTAAATGACATTATTAATCATGAATATTAAATTGTTGTTATGATGACTGGATCTTATCAACTGTGGCTGTATTAGGAAACTCAGACAGGTCAGGTAAGTATCAGGGAGGGAGATCAGCATTAGGTACAACATACAATTGTTTCAGCAAGTAAGGCATATATAGAGCAAAGAAAACCTTAAAGAAAATAATAGATGGAGGCCCAAGGAGTGGAGATGTTGAGATCAGATCGCCACTACAGGTGATGGTGCCTTGTAAGGAAGCCTGAAGTTTAGGATAAATCCCAGGACCTGCAGAACCCCTTGAGGAAAGACAATAAGTTCTGATATGTGGTATAAATGTGTGCTGGACAGAGAAACAAGGCAGAGTTGGACAACAGAAAATAACCCTTAGAATGAATGACTAGAACTGAAATATTAGGATAGCCATTTCCAACTGAGAAAAACCAAATGTCTGGTTACCGTAAAAAATAATACTTTTTTTTTTTAAGTTTCTAAATGTGTCCTGCTAAGAATAAAAAAAAAAAATGTGTCAGAGCCCATTAACCATCTAAAGTAAATAATAGCTGTTTTTAACTGTCAAAATAAATTTACAGGTAGTCTAAGATCTTTCTGTGATTTGCTATCACAATGGCTGCTCTGAAGACGTTAGAGAGAAGAAAACCCATAAATGCTGGATTGTCTGTTGTCACTGTTCTATTTGCTTTGGCAGGGAGAAAGCAGGTTTCATGTCATTTAAAAATACGACTTAATTTTTAAAATACACATTATTTAAAGACAACACTCAGGGAGTGGGTAGAATCAATTATGTAAAGTGATGAGTAAATGTAAAATTTCTTCAGTTCAAGTCAAATGATATTCACTTTAACCTTAGTTATTTATGTTTGGTAGTGACTAGAGATAGGCCCACATGAACTGACAAAGTTCTTTGGAATAGAAATTACATTTCTTTTTACATGCCATCTTTTTAAAAGTGTTACTGAAGTTTTTTGAACAGTCATTAAATCAGAAAACCAAATTATTACTTTAGCTAAAAAATGATCAAAAACGAAAAAAAAAATGAGCATTTCAAGGCAAATTAAATCTGGCCTCTGATTTCAGTAGAGTACTAGGGAAATAGTAATCACTTCCCCTATATAATGACTTCGGATACGGACACAAATATGAGCAAGTGAGAAGGAAAGATATATTTGTTTCTTGAAACTACCAAATATGTACCTAGGCCCCAGAGATTGTAAACCTCACATAAAAATCAGACTCAAGTTCTTAATAAAAGTTGTAAAAAAAATAAGTAATTCAAACAAAGTCAGGAAAAAAGACAGCAATTCGTACTTTGAAAACCAGGCTTAACTCAGTATCAAAAATACATTGTTGAAAATTTTTCATTCAATTTAAACTGAAACGAAAAAGAAAGAAAGAAATTGCCTAGAGGGATAATTTTTACTGACTTCTTGCCTGACCTTGTGGGGGAAAAACAAAAATAATTTAGTAGACCATGAACACACAGCAACACAATAAATGTATGTAGGCCCCATTTCTGGATTGCACATTGGAGCAAATAATTTTGTTCTATGTCCAGTACCCAAAGCATAAAAGATCTCTTTGGAAGACCTCCTTGGATACAGTTTGGCAATAAAGCAAAATTCTCAGAGAGGAAGAAAATTACATACTGTATTTTGTCTTGTACGATAGGTTTTACTGAACTTCAACACAATTGGTTCCATGATTTACTTTGCTTGCTTTGTTTCCTAATCTGATACCAGTTTCAATCTAGAGTATAATGTAAAATCTATACCGTGGGTCAATTATCTCATAGGATAGAAATGTGAAATTGCCATTCATGAGCAGTATATAGGTATCACTTCAAAACTTATTATCTTTGGTTATTTATCTCAGCTGGTTAGAGCAGGTTTTTAATGAAGTTTAGACCATAGACCATGAACATTGAGAGCGTAGTATCTAGTATCAGTCCCTAAAAGGAGCACTGAACTTTGATACTGTCCTTCCATGGACATTTTACCCATTTTTAACTAGTAATTTTATAAGTAAAAGTAGACCAAATAATGCATTATTATCTATAAAGATGATCAAATAGGATTAATTTAATGATTGATAGATTACTGTTTACTCCAGTAAATCACCTAAGATGACAGCAGAGTGAACATTAAAATTTTTTGAAATAAAATAATGCTAGGAATGGATGGTACACAGAGAAAAATTTTGGTGTAACTTGAAATTATCAAGTTCTACCAAGTTAGGGCTTCTGGGTGGATGGCTCAAAAGTTAAAACCAACAGTCCGTGTATCTACTTCTCTGAATCCCCTTTGTAAATTCATCCAAAGGAAATGCCTTCAGTGTGAGGGTAACTGAACACCCCCCCTCCACTCATACCCACACCCACACCCAAGCACAGGTTGGCAGGTCTAGAATATGTTTGCATTTCTTCTGTCCCGTGTTAATCCAAAAATCTAGACAAGGCGTTGGCAAACTACAGTCAGCTGTCCAAATCTGGCCAGCCACCTGTTTTTGTAAATAAATTTATTGGAACATGGCTATGCCCACCGACTTACATATTATGTCTGGGTTTGTGTTGTTCTGGAGGAGATGAGGATATACTCCTTTAAAGTAAAAGTTGGCCAACCTCTGATAAGGACTTTAAGACATAAGCAAGAGAGTCTTTCCCTCCCTCCACAGGGTGGCACCATTAATGCCTAATATTGCCTGCCTCGAGAAACCCCCTGACCCCACGAAACACAAACAACAACCCCTCCTATTTTTTTCTCTTTGCCTCTAATGCTAAAGGCCTAAAGTAGAGATTTGAAAATCAAAAGAAATAAAATATTTTAAAAATTGTTAAAGTTTTGTCAAGCGGTAAGATGAAGTAGTTTGTGGTGGGCCAATATTCCCACTGAGAACAACAAAAAAATAAAAAATTCACAAAAATTATACCTTCCCACTGGCACTCTTCGTTATCCCTTCAGAATTTTCTTATATATTTTTTTCTTTTATAGGAATCCTAGATTATATACTTTATGAATATCAATAAGCCCTGTATTTTTTTGATCAGGGGTAAAGGCTTCCAAAGAATGAATAAAAAAGAACAGTACAAGTGAATTTTTGGAATCACTGAGGATTATTCTTACCATATGGGTAATTAAGAGGCTTGCAATAGATCAAAAGCTTAAACTTATGAAGTTTGTACTTTCACTTGTAATCAAATTAAGCATTTTTTGTTTGTTTTCTCATAATGACTTATGATGCATGTGAAAGACAAAATGCTCTGGAAAGTTTAGGAGATTTTTTTCAATAAGGGGACCATTTAATGAGGAACTTCTCAAAGAAATGGAAGGGGGCCTGGGATTTTATAGAAGCAGGACAACAGAGACTCATTCACAAGTCTATGGAAGTTATGAGGAAGAACGGAGACAGTTTATCTGAGTCATTGAGAAAGGGTAGATGGAGGTGGGCACTTACCTCAGAATATGTACGAGCACTATGAACCTTTGAGGTGAGCAGCTTCTTGGGGGCAAAAAATAGGCAGGGAGATTTCTCAACCATGATGTTTTCCTGGACCACAGGACTTAGATAAAGTTCAATATTATGTTGCAGATCTATGTAAAGAATAGAGCAATTACATAATAAATAAATAAATACATAAATAATTAAATAAGTAATAATCTATCAATTATCCTTCACTTTAAATCATATCATTAAAAAAATCTTATCATTATACATCTTTAGCATCATGAACTTTCATCACATTGGTTAACACATAACTTTTTTTTAATTTTTTATTGTTATGTTAATCACCATACATTACATCATTAGTTCTTGACGTAGTGTTCCATGATTCATTGTTTGTGCATAACACCCAGTGCTCCACGCAGAATGTGCCCTCTTTAATACCCATCACCAGGCTAACCCATCCCCCCACCCCCTCCCCTCTAGAACCCTCAGTTTGTTTTTCAGAGTCCATCGTCTCTAATGGTTCGTCTCCCCCTCCGACTTACTCCCCTTCATTCTTCCCCTCCTGCTATCTTCTTCTTTTTCTTTTTTCTTAACATATGTTGCATTATTTGTTTCAGAAGTACAGATCTGTGATTCAACAGTCTTGCACAATTCACAGCGCTCACCATAGCACATACCCTCCCCAGTGTCTATCACCCAGCCACCCCATCCCTTCCACCCCCCACCACTCCAGCAAACCTCAGTTTGTTTCCTGAGATTAAGAATTCCTCATATCAGTGAGGTCATATGATACATGTCTTTCTCTGATTGACTTATTTCACTCAGCATAACACCCTCCAGTTCCATCCACGTCATTGCAAATGGCAAGATCTCATTCCTTTTGATGGCTGTATAATTAACACATAACTTTTGATAGAGGATAATAAGTACTGAGAGCCAAATGCATTTTCATTTATTTGTGGTTACCGCCAGTGTTCATGGCACTAAGAATTAAGTAATTATGTGATTGTCTTGATTGAAGGGTTACAGAAATATAAACTGTGAATGTAGGAATGATTCTTAGATTTGTACAATGATATAGTTATGTATCCCAAAGCCTAGAACTTTTTGCCAATATGTAAAATATTTCCAAGACATTATGTATATCAATCAATCTGATGAACATTGTGGAAATGAGACTAGGACTTGGGACAAAATAATGGGTGTATTTCTCTCTCCATATATGAGGAAATTTAGGAGGACAATGCTATTTTGTATGGGTATAATCGCTCCCATGTATTTTTTTAATGGGATTTTGCTGCTCTTCCCATGAAAGATGGAGTGCATTTCTCTTGTTTGAATGTGGCCTGGGTAAATGATTTGCTTTACCAATAGAATACGAAAAAAGAGATGCTACACAAATTCCAGGTCAAGTTGTCAAGAAGCTTTGCAGTTTTTCCCCATCCCCGTCCCAGAACACTACCTTGAGACCTCTAGTGGAGGAAACTGGGCGGGCCTCCTGGAGGGTGGGAAAACCCAAGACTGCCAAGCAATTGCCTGCAAAGACCACAAGATCTATGAGAAAAGCTGACTGGCTTCTACCCAGTCACCTTGCAACTGCAGGAGCATGGCCAGGTGAACATAGCATAGGACCACCCAGCAGTTTCCTGAATGGTGAGAAGTTACAAATCACTGCTATTTGAAGCTACGATAAATTGGAGTGTGTGTTTAAATAGGAATGGCTAACTGAAACACCTAAACCTATAAAATAAATATATATTTATGTTATATATTGTATATTTATTACTTGGTACAGTAAATGAATTTCTTATTGCAAAGACCATAACAAAACTTGTCAATTGGGATCAGCATTTAGGATGTGAATACTAACTATGGAAATATTCGTGGCAAGATTGGTATGATGTTCTTCTTTTAGTCATTTTAAAGATCACACAATTAACATAGAGAAAGATACTAATTAGCAGGTCACACATTGATACTTTAGGGTCCTATCATGGTTAGTGGATTTTATTCAACTGTTGATGTAATTTCATTTTTATTTATTTATTTTTTAAACTTGTTTTCTGCAAGCTTCTGTTGTACCCTCTTTAAGATAAGGACACATTTAAAGACTTGATCATTTGAGGAATGTAATGGCTACTCTCCCCATCTTGTATCATGAATAGTTCCACTGAAGAAAATTGAATAAACCAAGATGAGAAAATTTCTAGAGTATTTTCAGTTTTGCACGTAGCTATTGCACTGCATTATACTTTTGTTAAGTAATAGGTTTTTTATTGGAAGGAAAATAGAAAAAAAAAAACAAAACACTTTCCCCCAGAAAAAGACAACAGAATCATATAGGAGAGAAATTTTTCTTTTACAATTAGATGGCACCATTTTTGTTGTTGGGACCTAGCCAGATTAGAGGCTTGAGTTTCTTGGGCTACAAAATTGTTTTTATTTCCTAACTCCACAACAAAGTTTCAATTAAAAATTGAATTGAATGGAATTGAATTCAACTTATTTCAAAAGATATGTACTAAATGTACTGACTTCTATAAGAAGCTACCATAATATGTCAAATAATGCTCTGGTGTTTACAGCCCAGTATTCAAGAAAATGAAGAAACTATACCATTTTGTTTCTGAAATATATGTCCCCCAATTAATGTATCATTTATATATATATTTTTTATTTTTATTTATTTATTTGAGAGAGAGAATGAGATAGAATGAGCATGAGAGGGGGGAGGGTCAGAGGGAGAAGCAGACTCCCTGCTGAGCAGGGAGCCCGATGCGGGACTTGATCCCGGGACTCAGTCCCAGGACTCCAGGATCATGACCTGAGCCGAAGGCAGTCACTTAACCAACTGAGCCACCCAGGCGCCCCTCGTTTATATATTTTAAAAATATATAATATGTACCTGTTATTACATCAAGCGTACCATTTAATAAACTCAGTATATGAAAAGGCACAAAGAGCACAAATATAGTGTAGCTTCAAAAATTATTACCAATTTATATTATCATTAAATACTTTAAAATGGTATTAATAATGATTCATTTATTCCATCAAATTTTATTTTAACCTAATAAAACTTTTTTAACTTTCATTAAATCAATTAAGTCCATAAAGTGTGGACAATGACTATAGAATTACTGACACATGGAATATTAATTTTATGTTCCAAGTAATTAGCATCTAAGAAATCAAAGTATATTCAATAATTATTTTTTAAAATATTACCCAAAGTATTATCTGAAAAAAGCTGCTTTGACTATTTTTAACTGTTAAGACTGATAGCAATCATGTCAAAATAAGTATTTGTAGAAATAGAAATAGTTTTTTCCTAGTTCCAGAAAAGAGCACCTTCTCACTGAGCCAGAGGCAGAACTTCTTCAGTTTTGTTTTGTTATGTTATCACTGAACCATGGTCTAAAATATATGTATCTAAGTTATAACTATATCATTCTCTGTCTATGTGTATACCGATAGCTAATATTTGTCTAATTGGATGCCATAGTCCAATGTAACTCTGCAAAATTTGGGGAACTTTGGGAAAGCAGAAAACAAGTTCAGATTATTTCCATACTCTATTATCCTACTCAGATTGAATCTCCATGAATCATTTCCTAAACACTCAAAGTTATGGCTCCCCTCTCCCATCTCTCAGCCCTGCTTTGTAGTTTGCTACCACCTTCATCCCACGGAGCATTACAAAGGCATTCGGCCAAGTGGAGACCTAGCTCTCTACTCTAAACTATCCTTAGCATTTAATCTATATCATATTAAGGCTATTTATCTTTGTCCTCCTTGAACTGAAATTTGGTACAGACTTATCTAGCTACTAGTGCATTAGCTTAAATACTTTGATGTCTAATTATTTGTATCACAGTACCTGGAATGGAGTTTTAAAAACAATGTGGTCAATGGAATTTTTGCTACATACTTTGCATGTGATATCACACTTGAACCTCACAAAACCGACATGATGTAAGTTCCATCATCATATTCAGTTTAAGAGAACAAAGGCACCAAGAAATGCTGTTCTAGGATAGGAGAGGCCAGCTTGAAGATAAGCCTAGCTTCCTATAAATCCATTAGTGAAGACACTCCATAAAAGATCTTTTCTATGTAGATAAGCTTTAAATAACATTTCTTTAAGAAAAAAAAGCAAAGAAAAATAAGTTATCATTTTCTGTGCTTTCTTGACTTATTGCCTAGAGATAGGTAACCAATCTGAGTTGATGTGAATTATCTAACCTTGATCTCAATCTTTTATCCAACACTTTGTTAACTCTGAAAATTAAAGATATAATATCATTCTTAAACCACAATGTTTCTAAACCATGTACATTTTAAGGGGATTATGATTAATTATCAATAGGCTGTCTCAGAATTTAGTAGGAAAAACAAGTTCAATCTACAAATTCAATAAATAAATAGTTAATTATGCATGTCTGTAGGCAAATGCTCAGTCTCAAATCAGTAATTTTGGTGACATAAATTTAGCAGATATTTCCAAAATAAGATTCCAGAAACCTCAAACTGTCAGTAACATTCAAAATAGGTCCCAGTTGTGTTATTATGGGGTAGAAGCAAAAGCAGCTGGATTCCAGAAAGCTACAATTTTGACATCATAATGGTCCTAAGAAATTGTCAAACTGTTCCTAAGAGGGAACAAATAGAATCAAAACAGAATTAGGATAAGAATCAAGAATTTTTGGTATGTTGTCTTGTGCAAGGACAGAAATTTAAGACCTCCATTGTGATGAGGACGCTATTCCCATATTATAACGTGTTTTTAACATGCTCTGAGTTTTTTCCTATCATGCCTTTTATCTGTTGACATAAACCTTTCTCACTGCTGCAGTAAAAAGGGGATTAGATATTGGGTATTCCTAAAATAACCATCGATGAAACATCAACCATGTTTTCAACCAATCATGTCATACCGAAGCAGAGGTGACCATTGATAGAATGTGTTGAGTCCTGATGAAAAACCTGCACACACAAACTTTTCTTTCCAAGGAGGTTGCTAAAGAGAAGGGATTGATGAGACACTCATTGATGTCCTACTTTCCATTCTTTCAGCCTTGCTATCTCCCCTCAGGTGAACAGTGTAGCCATTCCTGGTGGAATGAAGCCCTGTTGCCCAAAA